AAATACGTGTACCAAGTTTCATCATGATATCTCAATTTTTACTCAAGTTATAGCTTGCACGGACGGACGGACAGACGGACAGACGGACGGACGGATAGACAGACATCCGGATTTCAACTCTACTCGTCACCCTGATCACTTTGGTATATAGAACCCTATATCTGACTCTTTTAGTTTTAGGACTTACAAACAACCGTTATGTGAACAAAACTATAATACTCTCGTTAGCAACTTTGTTGCGAGAGTATAAAAAAGCTTTCATAACGCGATAGCGGCTTTTTTACAGATTAATAATCTTTTTTAAATTTTTGTTTTAGATCGAAATTGCGCCCGCAATCGTGAACATCGTACAGAACCTTTCTTTTTAAGTGTCATTTTAACAATTTATTTAACTATTATAGTACACCCAATAAATAAATATAAAAAAATCCTTCGTCATGAATGCATTTATTTACAAAAAAAATTTGATCGATTAGTTAATTTCAACACTACTGAATAATACTGCTAAAATACTGCATTGTATGAATGGAAGTGCTTAAGACTTTAGTAAAACGCAATGACTGATTTTAGGATTTAGGATCCACCAAAGTCTGAACATAAGCGAATTTACTACTTTTATCAACAATTTGTTCATTATCAATAACAAAACATTTCGTTTTAATTCAGAAAATCGAAATAAACATACTTAATAAAGTAATGCTGCATCACAAAGCAGAGCATCAAGTGACTCAGAAACATACCTGTAAGTAATATTTTAGCCGGTTTTAAACTAGTTTTAACTAGTACGAGACAGACATATTCCTGCTAAGAGCCTGGCAAACTACTTCTATGTTAATGTCCTACACCTAAAAAATACCGGTTCCATTTTGGAAAAAATATAGTCGGGTGGCTTGTTAAGCTTGTGGTTCATACCAGTTATTTACGGAGTCAACTAAAGGTTATTGTGGTATACGGACATACATATATAAATATTGTGCTTATATATCTTTTCGCGTAAATGTAGTAACCCTATACAGTATATAACTTTTTATTTAAAAAATGAGGATACAGAGAAAATACTGCGTTTGCGAAAGTAGTATTATACGTAGGTAAACAAGTTGTATATATGTACATATAAATAGGCTGATAACAAGTTTAATATTTTATTTTAATTCCCTTTATGTATGGTCCTTTCATATTTTGTTGTCCTTTGTAAATCTTTGGCATACAGGTAACATTTTACTTTAAAATATTTTATCAAAAGTGTACTCTCCTTACGTCTAGGAACTTTAACAATGCTCCATAAAAATAAATTTTCTCAGCTTGAAACTTTTAGTTATCTTTGCTTAGCTTTTACAGGCATAAATATGTACTTAAACATATATATACATATATTCGAATAGTATACTTCACACATATGTACATATGTACACATAATTCATATGTATGTAACTATTTGTGTTATCTGCATACAGTACATATAACCTATATGTACATATATACTAGGGTGATCTTTCTTCATGTTATAGTATAATTGTTGATATCGAGCGAAAATGTAACCAACAGTTTATTGCACAATTTTTTTGTCATATTTTTTGTAAAAAACAAAGAATGCTAATATATTTATGTAACAAGATTTCTTCGTGAATTCGTATGTAATTGCCATAAGTGCTATATGTACTCGATGTAAGTTTTTGTATGTATGTATGTATGTATATATATAAAATAGTTACTTTTGCACTTCCTGTTTTATTTTGAAATGATCATAGCTACAACAAGTATCTTGCAATAAATGTACAAACTTTGTAAGATTATTTCGGTAGTCAGTGTAAATAGGCTTTAACTGTTAAACTCTATAAGTTATCAGTAGTTGATGGATTTGTTTCCTTGCCGATAGTGTTAAAGTGTCAAACTTGTAATTTTTTACAAAGCTTCCGCGTGGACATGCTCGCGGTGTGGCCATCCATGTATGTATGCATATAATTTGTCAATGAAAGCCCGATTAAGTTCATCTTGGGATAGGATGCACATTAATCGCTAATCATAACCATAAAAAAGTAGTAATGGCAACAATATAGAACAACAGATAAAATTATATATTATATATACTATAAACTACATTGTGTATAAGTTAGAGCATCATATTCAACAAAAATATTTATAATATCGAAAAATTTCTTAAATCTATAAATGGGAATTTGACAGTGAAATATTGTTAGCCATGTATACATCTTTACAGTGTTAATTTTTTTTTAAATCTTAAACAGAAATCACAATTATCGAATTTGCAAGATCTATTTATCTTTACGCTATATTTTGAATCGCTAGTATCGCGATTGGACTTTTGAACAAACTGTTTTTAAATTTGATTTCTTAAACTTAATATTTTCCCTAAAAAATATTTTATGCACGTCAACTTCGACAACATATTTGCATTATTGTAGCGCGTGTATGTATGTACATACTAATCAACTGTAAACACATATTTAACAGGTGCATACGTCCGTTTTAATTGTAATTTAAAACGATTTCTAATATGTATGTATGTTTTAACAAGTGGATGCCTGGAATACGGCCTGATTTACTATTTTATTTGTGGCCAGTAGAAGAATTTGTTTTTCCATTCTCTGTAAATTCTTGCTTACAGTAATCCATGACGACATCAGCACGACAATCTCCCATAAGTCCAGGTAGGAGTACGACCACACCCATTATTGTTACAATGGTTCCAAAGACGACCAGACCGAGTGCCGGTAATTTTTCGCGGCTGAAGATAGAGTGAGATTCCATTTGTATGTAAGCTAGACCAGGGAGAATGTATGCCAAAGGGATCGCTGCCAAAAGTCCCTACGAATAATAATGCGATAAGTATTTGTGATTTAGCAACAGTCGCTTTACTTACATTTAACTCTAGTACCGATCCTAAACAATCAGTTAATGGCGAAATGAGGAAAGCGCTGAAAACTATAGCCAACGTAATGGTTTTTCCATATTCATCAATATCAGCGCCTTTCTCAAGATTGGGATCTTTGTCTAATGTCAGCTCACTAATAGGTTCTTTTAATACAAAGCGGTGCACAAAAGCGCGTACAATCTGAAATATTGTACCCATAAAGCAATACATACAATATAAGTAATTTATGCCCTCAGACATTCTTTTCAATAAGATCATCTAACCTCTCGAGAAACAAAACACTCTATTGGAAAAGTCAATAAAATTGAAATGGAGAAAAGCACCCGCGAAAAATTCATCAGATCATCATTCCAACAGTAGTTCTCCAATAAATCGCCTAAAATAAGAGATAGAAGATTATTAAAATAGTAAGAATATATTCATATATGTACATACAGATATGCTATATAAACATATGTATTTATATTTTCCCAATTGGTCCCTGATATCGCGAGCAAAATGTTTCATGTTCTTTCAGGCGAAAGAAAAGTTTTAGAGCAGTTACCATTTAACCCTTCTCGTTTCCTTATCATTTAATCTCTATTATTTAACCACTTTTGTACATTTAACGTCCATTACGTCCATTTATCATTTATGTTGTTATATGGAAAAAAATTTCCTCAATAAGGGTATCATCTTGCTTTTGCAAAACCCTTGCACGGTGCACGAATTGCAGAATTTTCCACACGGTGCATCGGCAAAACAACAAGCACACGCATAAAATTATTAGCAATGACTGCAAAATACGTCAGACCAGAACCCAAATATAATTGCAATCCTGTTTTAGCTGTTATTTTACATATAAAGACATTTTTCGCCGTTTAATTGTTCAGGAAGGTAAGTTTTAATATGTACTTAAATTATAAAGATTTGTTAAATTTTTTTGGTTAAGAAGGAATTGCAGCCGGTGCGCTAATTCAAAATGGTCATGAACAATAGTCATTTACAACTGTTCATATATCACTAGATTCTGCAATAGGTGCTCTCGTGCTTTTCCTAAAGTCGTCCGATTGGTTAGTTACGAACAATTATCACCGTCAAAGTCCAGGGATTTAAGTATAGTTGGAAAAGTATTTCGCTTGCGGTAGTTTAGTCCTTAACATTTATTACTACAAAATTTTCACATGTAAAATATAAATACCTTGTGATAGTGCACGGAATGTAGAATATCCAGCAATACCGAACAGAGCTGCTACTGCTAAAGCAAATCCAATTGAAATGTGCGTGACTTTCTCCCACCGCTCAAGTGTAGCATTTCTCATGGACTGATAAACCAAAAACGTATTATGGTGGCACATAAATGCTGCAATAACACCATATAAGAAAAAAAATCACAAACACTCCAACTAAATAGTAATTGTCGTTGCGGATATGGTTTGGTTTAATTATATATATGTAAGTACTATCAAGCAATAAAAATTCCAATAAACAATATTATATTATATTCTCAACACCCGACGAAAAAGGTTTATTTAATTATGCTAGAAACTCACCAAAAACCATAATGCCCGTTGCTGGAATTAAATCAATGTTGGAAAATCTCCAAGATTCTGGGGAATCGGCGCTGAAATTGAAAAAAAGATGTTTCTGATGTTTACGTGTATTTATATAGATTTAGATACATATGTGCATACATTTATATATGTATATAAATAAATATATTATTATATAAAATTTTCATATGTATTAGGTTACAAAAGTAGAATATTCATTAAAACGATAATGAACTTTCTCTCTCATATCTAATGAAATACATTATGTTATGTAGTAGGCGTGGTTGTTAACCGATTTTGCCCATATCATACTGCAATGCAAAAATGTCAATTAAATTAATTCAGGAGCGGAGTTATAATTCGATATCATCCATTTTCACGCTTTACGTTGGAGTTCTTATAAGAACTGTTTAGGAGATATGTACATTAAATTTAAAAGCCGCTTCCACTTTTTCAATAAATTTTACCCACAGATGCTCCTTGCTACCTCAATAGCCTGAATCAATTTACAGTTTTATATCTTAACTTAGTGCTTAGTTATGGCTCTTTATAAGTTTTCGGTTAATGATGCTTTGTGGGCGTGGCAGTGATCCGATTACATCCATCTACGAACTCGTACTTGTTTGTTGCCAAGAAACGCGCTTACCAAGTTTCATGGACAATGATGGACAAACTTCTAATATGAAATGTAATGCGTTGGATGAAACGTTTTGTAATGTGATGTTTTATTAATTAAATGAAAAATGTTTAAGAACATTTATGAGAGATGACAGGCTTAAATTCCTTTAATAAATAATGAAAGTTCAAAGGTAAGTAGTATGGTATTTTAATATACCATAAAAATATTTAAATAGTTTATCTATAGTTTCACCGTCCTCAGAGTGGCGTTACCACTTAGGGTACTGTTTACCTAGCAATATTATTTATCAATGTACGTATACATACAGACATACATACATAAGTATGTACGTACAGATTTGTTCACTCAAAATACATTATTAACGTACTAATATGTAGTTTTTAATTTAATTTAATTTAATTTCTATAAATACAATTCATCGTTCTTGAATTTTACATTGAACTTTTTCAAGTTTTAAATATTACAATGCTAAATACTATCCTTTGAAGAAAATGTGGAAATTTGTCTATTATTTAAAAAAGTTATTAATATATTGAACTGAATCCCAACAATTTTCCACGTTATCATGCTTAATAATTATCAATCCCTCACAAAACACGATTTTTATCTATAACTATAACAAAAAATTAAAATATTTTCTAAATGGACAGAAATGTGCATTGTATCATACTTTGGAAAAATTTAACTCAGATTACTAAAATTATGAGTTGTTAGAGGAAAATTGTACACAACGCCATGAATTTTATTAAAAGCGATCCAAATTTGCTCAAAAATAAAAAAATCGCAAAGCTCCTGGTCGCAAAATAACGGGACTACCTGGTGGAATCACCTTCAGAAAAAGCAAAGCTAAGCCTTTTAAATCATGGCGAAAGATTCTTCTTCTTAATTGGCGTAGACACCGCTTGCGCGATTACAGCCGAGTTAACAACAGCGCGCCAGTCGTTTTTTCTTTTCGCTACGTGGCGCCAATTGGATATTCCAAGCGTAGCCAGGTCCTTCTCCACCTGGTCCTTCCAACGGAGTGGAGGTCTTCCTATTCCTGTGCTTTCCCCGGTGGGTTCTGCGTCGAATACTTTCATAGCTGGAGTGTTTCGTCCTCGTTTTCTGTCTTTTAGTTCGCTGAACTATGTCAATGTAGTCATATACCTCATACAGCTCATCGTTCCATCGATTGCGATATTCGCCGTGGCCAACACGTAAAGGACCATAAATCTTTCGCAGAACTTTTCTCTCGAAAACTCGCAACGTCGACTTATCAGTTGTTGTCATCGTCCTCTGGAGCATATAGCAGGACGGGAATTATGAGTGACTCTTACAGTGCTTCTCAATTGCCTACTCAGTCCGAAGTAGCACCCATTGGCAAGAGTTATCCTGCGTTGGATTTCCTGGCTGAAATTGTTGGTGGTGTTCCAAAATAGACTAAATCATCTACTACTTCAATGTTCTGACTGTCAACAGTAACATGAGAGTCAAGTCGCGACTGCGACGACTGTTTGTTTGATGACAGGAGATATTTCGTTTTGCCCTCGTTCACTGCCAGACTCATTTGTTTTGCTTCCCTGTCCAGTCTGGAGAAAGCAGAACTAACGGCGCGGGTGTTGAGACCGATGATATTAATATTATATATGCTGAGAGGTTATGAGCAACGCATTTGGCTATAACGCATCCAATAGACTTGTGGGGAGACGTCTGAAAGATGATCAGTTGTTTAGACGAATGAGTTGAAAAAACACACCTGACAAAAAAATCAAAACATAATAAACAGGTAAGGAATATTTAGAAAAGAACGTCAAATTTTGAAAAAGGTTTCTGTGGAGCGATGAAACTAACTCTAGATACACTACAAAACCTGTGAGAATGGCGGAGGTAGCGTAACGGTTTTGGGGAAGTTTTGAAGAACTGGCTCACTGCAGAAATTATTGACATCCTGAGCCGGCCAGTTCAAAGCTCCGATGCAAAATCGATAGAAAATGTATGGAACGATGTTAAGATACAGAGTGTCAAGAAAAAACTCAAAAATGCGGAAAAGCTTTGAACTGGAATAAAGGAGGCATGGTACGCAATTCCACAAAGGAGGGGTCAGATAAAGGGGTTTTCAATAGCTACGCTACAAAATTAGACCAATGGGGAGAGCAAACCACGCCATATTTTTCCCCGCTCTTTCGACATTTCTCTTCAGTAAGGTTTGCTATTTCATCATGGAAAGATACAAGATCCAAACGAGATTATTGACTACCGAAATTCGGAGTGAGTAGCCTCAATTTTAAAAGCGTTTTTCAGTAAGAGCAATACAAAATTATTTTTTTAAGTAAAATAAAAACTGCTTGCGATATCAATGAAGTTATTTATACCTGTGAAAGTACATTCGTACGTATTGCATCCTGAAAAATACGGTTTTGTGCGTTTTATGAGCCGACGGCAAGTCACTGTGACTGCGAATCGCTACCGCTCAATGGTAAACGAATATTTTTGCTCCGAATTGGATGATATGGACATTGACAATATGTGGCTCGAACAGGACGGCGTCACAAGTCACAATCGATTTATTTAAAACCAAATTTTGTGAAAGGGTTGTCTCTCGAAATGGTCCAGTCAATTGACCGCCACTGTCGAAAATTCGGTTCAGCGTCTGGACTTCTGCAATCGTGCAGTGGTGGCCATGATTCGTGTAAAGAATTTCATTGATATCCCAAACCGTTTATGTTTTATTTAAAAAGAACTTTTGTAGTGTTCTTTTTAAAAAACGCTATTAGTGGAAGGCTTGCCCTGACGATGGCAAGTAATTTTGAAAAATTGTGGGCACACAACGAAATACTAACGTTGTAAGTGCTCAAACACTATAATATCTCTTATTTCTAATAAATTTATTTAATTTCCGCAGAACCGGCATATGGTGCTATTTGTATGTCCAGACCTAAACACGCAATGGGAAACTCAATAAATTAGCTTGTTAAAGAACTATTGAATAAAGTATGTAATTTTTTATAAATAACTCACTTATTTCTCTTTAATGTGATGCTAATGATAAAATTTGTTTTCTGTTCTTATTAGTCTCTAGTCAGTATTTGAGAATTTTTGAGGTAAAGTCTCAAATTGTGACTAGTTTATATTTACAACACAGTATAGTCTTTAGTCACAAAATATTGTCTCAAATTTGTGATACGAAAATTAAAAAAAAACCTTGTTTGCCATTTTAAATATACAATCATATATGTATATTAATCGATTGTCGTTTTTCTATATTTTGTAAGCAACTCTAACACGAAAGAGTTAAAAATAAGTAAATTTCACATAAATTTCGTAAATATTCTGAAACAAAGTCAACATATATTTTTATTTTTATTGATAACTAGAGGACACGGCCACGCTTCACTGTGGCTGATACATAGATAATACAACTACTACTATCTATATGATGTCTATTAGTTGGATTATAACTATTAGTTGAAGCAACTTGTGTTAGTTTACAAAAAAAGTTTCATAGAGCATTTTGAGTGTTCCTAAATCATTGCTTTTTGAAGGAAAATACTGTTGAATTTGGGCTGAGGGATATTCACCGATAAAAAGTTATTTGCTAAGCTTAAAGAGGCGAAAGCTCTGTGCAAAGTGAGTGCCTTGCAAGTTCATAGTCCAACAGAAACAACGAATAACTGATTATGAGAAGTGGTTGAGTGCCCTCTAATCGGAATAAAGCCGAATTTTTGCGTCGGTGATAGAAACGAAAGAAAAGGGCGGCTGGAAAAGTTATGATATCAGTATTTTGGGATGCATGTGGTATAATACATACTCAATAACTGTTTACTGAGCCAGTTATAATCTATTTCACTGCATATTTGGTTGCACTTCTTTTCTAATATTCCAAATACTTTGCAATTGTATTATTTTTTATGAAGAATCAGTTTAAAATTGTACGCATATATTCAAATGATTCCTACAAACATGACTTGTTAACAAATACTTATAATTTGAAATATATTTTTTTTATTATGTCCTTACCGTGGTTCTACACTAACTCCCCACCAATTTTCAACCGAATCAGTTCAGCCGTTACTGAGTTATAAATGGTGTAACTAACAACAACTTTCTTTTATATTAATATATAGATGTGAGGTTGTTTTATTGTTTTTGTTATTTTTCATTGAAGAAATGAAATTCCAAATGATTTCTACAAATATGACTTTTTAACAAATCTTATAATTTGAAATATAATTTTTTTTTATGAGTTGTATAGGATTCTCATATAAAGAAATGGAAGGTAGCCTATGTCCTTACCCTGGTTCTGCACTACCTCCCCATCAATTTTCAGCCGATCTTGAGTTATAAATGGTGTAACTAACAACAACTTTCTTTTATATACTATATATATAAGTGACCTGGTCTACGGAAAGGGGGCTTAGGTGTCAAAAAATCAATTTTCACTTTTTAGTTGATTCGGATGGAAGATGAGATGCTTTTTTTTAACAGCTGTTTCCCAGAAAACTAGTTTTCGCACGTTAGCTCTTTTTCGTAGATCAGGTCACATATATCATTATGCTTTTTGATCAATATCGACATATTTATTTTCATTAAAGTGTAAATACATCTCTAATTAATGAAATGTAAGAACTGATTAGACTGTACTGTATAATTAAAAATCTCAATTTTATACAAATGCTTCCGAAATCGAATTTTTATAATTTTGTATTTAATCATTTTCTTAAAATTTCTTTAATGAATTACTTGTAAATAAAATAATTCATTAATATAAAAATCAAAATAAATATTGAACAGATAAGCAACCTGCGTTTACACAGTTTTTTTTCGCCACTGTTCGCACTACTATTATTATTTCGGTCGCAACTTTCTCTATTTATGTACATATGTACATAGGTATAATATTCGTCATATACTCACACAGTATAATCACCCGACAACAACTTTACAATTACGGCAAACAAAATGAACACAACGCACGCCAAACTAATAAAACTGGCACGGGCTAATCGAGAAACGTTTTTGTATAGACATAACGGTACTACAACGCCAATTGTAACGAAGAATACAACTCCCAGCCGTACAACACGCATGGACGTACCCCAAGACGGAAAAAACCGTACTAGCACTTTAGACAGAGTATCACCTACGACAACATTGTAGGAAATCATAGCTGCAAATATAAAAATATAATGCAATATGATAATCATGTATACTATTTATATTTGTTCATACATATGTATGTATATTAATAAAAAAATTACAATCATACTTTACCGTCTTCCAAAACTTACCCAGAAATGGATACATGAATTGTAATATCGATAGAAGGTAGTATCCATATTTACCGTAAGCCGCTTCCATAATACCTGGGTAACTAAATCTTCCGCATATATGCCCGCATCTTACCTGAAATAAAAAAAAAAATAATAAGTGAATGTCGTGGTCTTACAAATTGCAAGTAGGGTCTAAATTTGCCGAGTATTACCATAGTTACTCACACAATTTATGGGAATTAAAGGTGAGTGAAATATTTTAACATGTCTGCATATCATTATAACAACATTCATGTTTCCACAAAGTAGGCAGTGATGGTTGGTTAGTTACCCGTCTAACCGCACTCAATTCATTATTCTTCGCATTGTGATAACAAATTAATCACCATTTAACAACTCTGGAATAACAACATCTTTTATATTGGAGATTTCCCCTTTCACCCTGCCTAAATCTGGGCATTCCCCAAGGTAATGCTCTAGGGTCTTATCATCCTCCACGCATGTTAGGGGTTAAATCTTTGTGAAGGCCCCTACAATATTGCGCAGTTTTCTCTTTCCTAAAGTAAAATAAATTGGAAATTGTAGCGTTCTTAAACGTAACGTACATATATTCCGACGGTGTCGTTGATATACTTACAATAATGAACGTTGCAAGAGAATCATTTCACCATTAAACTTTCCAGTCATAAATTTTTCCCCAAGAATTTTTACCTCTCTTTGATGACCACCCTTTTTTTGCGACAAGATCTATCGCAAATCACCGAAAAGTGTATTGCAGTTGTTGGTCAATATGTGTGTTATTTTAATGAAATTAAGTAGATTTTTTAACCATATGGCTTAGCGCTGTTAAGTTTAAGTCTATGTCACATATGTATACGAGTACTATCTCATTTCAGCTAGTTAGCTTCATTTTAAAAGACATAAGTATGTACAGCGGGGAGCAAAACTGTCAACATGTTTACAGAAATGTTCTTATAATTTTTTTTTTACTAGCTGTATCGACAACATTCATACATACATACATCAAAATCAAGATAATACTTCAATTTATTAAAAATATAAAGCAGATCATCTTCATTTTATTCCTGGATGAAAATATATGATAAATTCTAATTACAAGTCATTTTGACAGTTTTGCACCAATGCACAAGTGTGCCATGCTATATTTACCGAAATGGCTGGGATAGGTAACTGAAAGCGGATATATACATAGATAAATAATTAACAATTTATATTTTTCAAATATTATAAATATATATGTACCAATTATTGCGAGACGTCGAAGTTATTGTTTAAGTTAAAATCGGATATTTTGCTAGAAAAATTGCGGAAAAGTTGAATATAAACCGACAAATGGAAAGAAATTTGAAGAAAAAACTAAAATGAGTGTATAATTCCCCAAGAAGCCGTTGCTAAATTACAACTTCAAGCAAGTACCTGGACGTTCCGACACTCTTTAAATAAAATAGGTATGGTTGCTGCGGTTAAACAAAAGCAAGACTCTTTATCTAAGCGAAATGTGAAAGCTAAGCTTAAATTTTTCCGAGAATGGAAGGAGGATTGGAAAAGTTTTATATGGCCGGATGAGACGAAGATTAATAGATACCAATCAGATGTTAAGGCATAATTAGAGTTGCTTAACGTGGTGGCATATTGGTCGTTTGTTTAGAATATATGGAATAATAAATAAAGAGATGTATTTGCATATTATTAAGGTCTTTTCTCAAAGTATTAAATCTTGTAAATAATTTATGTCCAAGTGTATAAGTGCGAAGCTGTCAAAAAGTCATGTAATTAGAATTTTTCTTATACTTTCATCTATAAATAAAATAAGTTGCTCTGTTTTATATTTTATTAAATTGAAGTATTAACTTTATTTTGATGTATGAATGTTATCAATTACTGCCAGTAAAAAAATAAAAGTTATCAGAACATGTCATATCATTCTGTAAAAATTTTGACAGTTTTGCTCCCCACTGTTTTTTGGACACGAAGCAAAATGTAGTGAGGATACTAAGTGATGCTATGACCAACATTATTCGTCGAATAATAAATGTTGCGTAAGAACTTAATTTAAAAAAAATATATAGTTTTGCAACGCCTAGAAGTATTTCCCCGCCGTTATTCCTTGAAATTTGCGAGAGTATGAAATGTTTATATACATAAGATACATACATACATACACTTGTACTCACATAATTAAGCCACTGCATAGCAAAACTACGTTTCTGAAAATAAATTCACCGAATTAGCTTTTCATTTRTATAACGGTATGCAAAAAAGTTCCGTTATATGTTAGGAAGTTGCTAAGATCATATTCAGAGAAATAAGTATCGTGGTTGGTGAAAAAATTAAAATAAACTCGCAGTTG